ATATGGTATGATCGCTAGTTTCATGTCTTCTTTAATACAGCATGATGTTCATTTAGTAAATTAGGGTCCCATTTAGAGGAAAATAGACCAGAAAGCAGAGTATGCTTCAGGGCAGGACTGTCTGTGATAGACAAGTCGTTACCATGGTGACCTGTCGCCATTGAAAAAGCTTATTAAGAGTTGGCTTTTTATTTTCTCTAGTGATTACGTGTTGTTTTAAGCCTGTTTTTCGCTAGACAAAATTAGCATCCCGGTTAAAATGAACGTAAATTACAGGGAGTTACAAAGCTCAATTTCATTATATAGTCTGTTATATTGTGACAATAAACCTACCTACCTTAAAAAAAAAAACAAATATGTGCAAACCAGAAAAATACTAACATAACCCCCCTCCTTGACCCAAAGCTAATCATTCAAAACATAGTCGGACTCGCCGAGCACCAATAGAAACGCCAGTGAGCCGGTCGTTCTGATACATAAACGGTAGCTCTAGAACATAGGTTGGAAGATAAGGACCGTTTTGGTTTGTATAGATAGCCATTTAACGTTAGCAGCCTCGATGGGTTGGGACATTAAAAAAAGTTTGACATGCTATAGCAAATTTTCAAATGTTGAACCTCTATGGTTATTGAGAAGTTAAGTACATAACTGTAGTAAGTAAGTAATTGTAACTGGTGGCCACGTCACAAGTGCCTCGCGGCCGCGACAGTCCCTTGCGCGTGTCACGACGCAAGGGACCGCCCAGCGCTGCTTGCAGCTTTAATTATGTTTTACTTTTGAAGGTTTTTGAAGTTTTGAGATTTGTACTAAGAAGAACTTTATCACTAATAATGCATGTTTGTGTGTGTTTTAGCCCAGCAAGAGGCACAGAGAGCCCAGTTCTATGTGGAAAAAGCCAAACAGGATCAGAGACATAAGATCATCCAGGCTGAGGGAGAGGCTGAAGCTGCCAAAATGGTGACTAACATGTTAAGTGTCTGTCTGGTTAGATATAAAGTTGAATCAGTGAAAAAACACCAGAGACTGTTATTGACTGTAAGGACTAAATATCTAAGAAGACTGAAAAGTAATTAGTGTCATTGTCTGCATGTCATTACATTCTGGTCATGTTGTATAGATGGTAATCTATGAACTAAACTAAAACTGTGTCTGTGTCAGCTGGGCCTAGCAGTTACTAAGAACCCAGGTTACCTGAAGCTGAGGCGAATCAGAGCAGCACAGAACATTGCAAAGACGGTCAGTAGTATTGTTTATCTCCTTTCTCTATCTCCGTTCCACTTTGATTTTAATGTGTGGGAGTATCGCAGGATCCCTGAATGAGCAACTAAAAAGTCATTTGTCAGTGATGGTTGACGTGATGAAGTGTCTTCTTCCAGGTGGCATCATCTCAGAACAAGGTGTACCTCAATGCTGACAGTTTGGTCCTGAACCTGCAAGACCAGGCTTTTTTTAGGTAGGCTGCATAAAGTTCATTCTTGACTTTGGAAACAATAGATTGACAAAATAACTTGACTCATAGCCCACTTATCATCATTTCATAGGCATGCATCCAGTTCCAGTAAGAAGAATAAACCTGATAACCTTGTGTAGCAGTGTTACAGTGCTGGTTAATGATGTGTGCTGTTGTTTTTCAGCATGTCACTGGGTCAAAAGAAGTGATGAAGAGGACATGAAGGGAGGCAGTAAGACTGTCCCTGTCATCAACTCTATCTGAACAGTCTTGGCTTGTGACATAGGGAATCAACATACATGACAAGTGTGAATGTGGACAACAAGCCCTTTTATTTTATAAAACTTCTCTTCCAGGGTGGGGTGGAGGATAAAATCAACAAACCATAAGGATTGCTTTTCAGTAGAATTTACAATCTTTTGTGATTTAATATAACAGTAATTCACAATAATTAATATCAGTGTCTTCTGTCAGGAGGACCTGACAGGTTTTATGTCCCACCAGTGTTGGCAGTCAGTTAATAATTAAGTCCACTTTCTCATGTTATTACTATATTTGGCAGTGTGACTGTATTGAATTGAACTTAAAACAGCCAAATTATTCATTAACTAAAATATATTTGGAATTACAAAAATAGTTCACTTTCAGCTAATTTTCTAGAATTTCCATATATGATAATAAAGTCTGATAATAAAGTCTATAAAGTGATAATAAAGGCTGTGTGTATCATTTCCTTCATGGTAACACAAGATGTAATGTCCTCTGTGTTTATAGAAATCGTGTCCATATTTATTCAGAATAATGTAATTATTCTCATGAACTGCAGTCCATGCCAAGAGAGTTTGGAATCACTTAACCAATCACATGTGCAGACACATTAAGAGAATAAATAAGTGAACAAACCTAATGAACCAAGATGTTTCCATACAGAAAACAAGGACTGAATAGTTCACTTCACTGAATAGTTAGATGAGAATAAAAATGATTCAATAATATGCCATGGTCTGTGGAAGATTCCGTTGGACAGTGCTCTTCACCATTTATGTGGTGGCTGAATGTTTTCATCCATTCAGTAGTTCCAAGAGAAGCTATTGTTTTTTCCAACCCAGATATTTTCCAATATTCTTCAAATGACCAACATGTCCACTTGGTGTCATTGTAAGGTTCTGTTCTGCTCACATTTTGGTTGAAATTACAAAGCTGTAGCAGTATGGGTGATTTAATGTAGTTGCGGATTCTGTGTCCATCAAACATGTTTGGTGCTCAAACACAGTTAGACACTTTCACAAATGTTGGACGTTTTATGTTAAGATGAAAACCATATTATCACTATCTTGCTACTACTGTTAACTTTCTCCCAGAGACGGAAATTAAAAAAATGCACTTCAGAATTATTTCATGGTGTATGAATGTATGTATATAAGTAACTTTAGTCCTTTATTTATATTATAAATATTATTTGTTAGGTTCTGTCTGTAGCATGGAGGGACTACAAACTTTCACTGTACAACCTTGTGTTGTATAATAATAAATACCTTGATCCAATATACACCGATCAGCCATGACATTATGACCACCTGCCTAGTAGGTCTCCCTTTTAGTGTAGGTCCCTCTCCAACCCCTCGAGGAATGGACTCCAGTAGACCTCTGAAGGTGTATCTGGCACCAAGAAATTAGCAGCAGATCCTTTAAGTTGTGAGGTGGTGCCTCCATGGATCGGACTTGTACAAGGTAGATTTATTTTGTCACATTACAACAGGTTGTAAAGTGAAGTTGAGTTTGTAATTCCCTTCTGCTATGTAGCAGACAATATACATTAATATAAAAGCCACTATAAAAATGGAAATCAGAAATGAACTATGAGGGTGTGTCCAGCACATCCCACAGTGCTGAATTGGATTGAGATCAAGTCAACACCTTGAACTCATTGTTGTGTTCCTCAAACCATTCCTGAAGCATTTTTGTTTTGTGCCAGGGCTCATTATCCTGCTGAAAGAGGCCTTCAGAGACTACCGTTTCCATGAAAGGGTGTACGTGGTCTGCAGGTAGGTGGTACATGTCAAAATAACGTCCACGTGAATGGCAGGACCCAAGGTTTATATATAATAATCTTTATTTATAGAGCACTTTTCAAAACAGTGTTACAAAGTGCTTTCACAAGAGCAAAGAAAATTACAGCTGCAAGCGGCGTTGGGCGGCCCATTGCAGAGGTGTGGCTGTGAATTTGCTACGCGCTTCGGACGCTGCACAAAGGTGTTAACGTTATGTGAGATAATATGGAGGCTACATATCAAGTCTGACATGCAGGAAACCAATCCATCCCATTTGACTGTTTAAACACCAAGCATCACGTAAAAACCGTAAATACAGAGTCTGCCTCCTCTCATCTAGCCGGAGCCTTGCGCTCTGACAGAACACGGTGTGCCCGCTGCATGCTCCAGGACATTGATGGGACTGGTCTGTGTAAAAATGGCCTAACAGTCTTTGATTTCCCGATGTTTGGCAGCATGAGTCCCATGTCCTCCAGACCGGACATTTACTGGGAGCAGCCTTACGTCCAAGCTGGGCCAGCATGGCTCTATCCCGGCTGTCTTCCCTCTCCTCTGGAACGATCACCTGCCGTGGTGCCTGGTGCCTTTTTGATTAAAGCCTACATAAATATGCCTATTGAGCAGTAAACCCTGAGTTTGATTAATAACTCCAAGTTAACTCTGAGTAGATTGAACTCTCTTCGTATTACAGGCCACAGGTCACCTTCTTCCATTGCTCCGAGGTCAACTGCTGATGCTCACGTGCCCATTGTTGGCACTTTCGGCAGTTGGCAGGGGTCAGCATGGGCACCTCGACTGGTCTGAGGCTTCTCAGCACCATACGCAACTGTTGGATCGGACCACATGGGCCAGCCTTCCCTACCCATTACAACCAGGACCCCATCCCTGGTTCACCGCTTACCCTCCTTTGACCACTGTGGACCAGGACCACCCCACAAGAGCTGTAGTTTTGGAGATGCTCTGACTAACAAATCAACTTTGAGGACACAATGCCTCCTGCCTAAAATATCCCACACCACAGGTGTCATGGTAATGAGATCAGCAGTGTTTTTCGCTTCACCTGTCAAGTAAATAATAAATATGTCAATATAGAAAGAAAGAGGATCTGTTGGCACATGAACTATGATGTGGAATAGTGTCAATCCTTCAGTCTAATTCAAACATGGACATATGATGAGTAGTGCAAAGAGGCCACCAATCCCACCAAACATGAGGGACAAAGACTACTAAGTATGAAGAAAATGTTAAATTGTATGCATAAACGGAGCTTTTTTTTAGAGTAAACACAAAACGGTGTGAGAAGCAGAGCTTGTTAAAAGTACTTACTTACAGAACTTGGATCATAAACTGTTGCTACTACACATTTATAAAATTCACACCATGTCCTAAAGTTATATAACAACTTTATTGAGTGAAGTGTCATTGGTTCTTTTCTGTCACACGTCGGCATGAGTTTGACTCCGATTGTCCAGGAATATTTATCACATTCTACACATCCATCTAACACAAACCACATCACTGGAGCAACATTGAAATTCAAGAGGGAAACTTTGGCTACTGGTTTCCTTCTGACTGCAGACTTGTGTACAATAAAGATAAAGAACAATCAGGTGGCTGTTGATGCATTTAAATGTCAATACTGAGAAAGAAACAAGGAATTGCAAGGCCAGAAGATGTGTTGATCATGACCCCGGAGGTCAGGATCATGTAGGAATGCGGCTGCGGAGGTACTCCATCACTGCATCCGTTCCTTTGGCCACGATGGCTGCTCTGGGAGTGCGAAAAAGATTCCCCTCCAGACTGAGACACCTGAGGGACAACACAGGCTTCAATTTATCCAGTGTGAGGGCTTTTCACATTTTGATTTCACAATTATTGACTTTTTAAATCCAGTTTTTAAAATAAACAGATAAATTACTCGATCTTTTTGAAAAATAAAACCAAATAAATCAAACCCTGACCACAACTATGAATTTTACATTAACAAGACAGATTATGCTTTCAGTAGGGCCTTGCAGCACTTAACAGCTGAATGACTTCATTCTACCGTTTTGTGGGTTTTACCAACTTAAGAACAAGTAAATGATGAAAAGTGGATAAACACTGGGGTCAGTTACATCACATGATCATACTATGACTCCTAGAATGCAGCACACATCGCAGGAAAAATACTGAGCTGCTCCAGGCTCATTTTCCTCTATGACATTAACTCTGGAGACAGTAGCTGGTGGTGTGCTGCAGAGAAGAAGTTCAGACACAAACACATGTTGGAGGACAGGACAGCGTGAAGACTTTGTTTCTTTGCTCAGGTGTGCTCCATACCTGAGGCTGGTACACAGGCCCAGTTCAGGGGGAATGTTCAGCAGGTCATTGTTTGACAGGTCCAGTGTTGACAGATGAACCAACTTTTTCAGACGACAAGGGTCCACCACACCCACCAGGTTGTTACCAAGCAACACCGACTCCAAGGAAACTATCTGATAGAGTACTTCAGGGAAGGACTTGAACCTGTGATCAGTACAAAGACTTTGAGTGTAAAAAAAACACTTTTACTGTTTTATTTAATGAACTGTATTAAATGAATTGTTCTTTTGTAATTTATTTGCAGCTTTGGCAATATTGTTGTTTGACATTCATGCCAATAAAGCTGAACTGAATAGTAATAGTGACAGTGTAGCTGACTGATTCACTATAGTTGCTTTCCATTCAGCTAGCTAGCGCGCTAGCCACTGGTTGTCGAGGTGGTGTCCAGCAAACGATGTGGGCTTTGTTGATCATTGGCAGACTTTCTGGGGAAGACCTGGTCTGATCCGGAGAGACGGCATCCATCCCACTTGGGAAGGAGCAGCTCTCATTTCTAGAAATCTGGCCAAGTTTATTAGTGGTCAAATCCATGACAACCCAGAGTTGAGACCAGGAGGCAGAGTCGCAGTTTAACACACTTCTCTGCCCTTCTTTTTCAGCAGTTACCCACCCAAAACCCTACGCAGAGTCTAACACACTTCTCTGCTCCTCCATTTCAGGAGTTACTTAGTGAAAATCCTATAGTGACGGTGTCTGCCCCCCGACCATCGAAATTATTTAAAAAGGTAAACAGAAGAGGAGCTGTGCATAAAAACCTCATAAAAATTAAAACCACAAGAGCAATAGTGCAAACTAATAGGAGAGTTAAATGTGGACTCTTAAACATCAGATCTCTCTCTTCTAAAGGTGTACTAGTAAATGAACTTATATCAGATTATGATATTGATTTATTTTGTCTTACTGAAACCTGGCTGGGTGATGGAGAATATGTTAGCCTAAATGAATCCACCCCTCCCAGTCATATTAATACTCACATTCCTCGAGGCACAGGCCGAGGAGGTGGAGTTGCAGCTATCTTCGACTCTAGCCTACTAATCAGCTCTAAACCTAAATCAAACTATAACTCATTTGAAAGTCTTGTTCTTAGTCTTTCGCACCCAAGTTGGAAATCACTGCAACCAATTCTCATCGTTATAGTGTACCGAGCACCTGGCCCGTATTCTGAATTCTTATCTGAATTTGCAGAGTTTTTGTCAACTTTAGTCCTTAAAACGGACAAAGTTATTATTGTAGGGGATTTTAATATTCATGTGGATGTTGAGAATGACAGCTTTAGTACTGCGTTTATCTCTCTGTTAGA